AATAGATACCTCAAAACTAACTGATGTAAGGCACCAGCATCAGTTCGCTCAGTTTCACTTACATATTATTGCACAGTCATACAAAGAAATGACAACACTCGTGCATGAGTGTATGAATATGTATGAATGCTTTCAAATATATTTCGTGATTTTCGTTGAAATGCTATAAGCGCCGATGTAAAATAATATAAAAGATATACAGACACGTATGCTCGAGTTCATCTGTAGGCCATTTTGTTTCGCTTCTCGCTTGACATTTGCAACTTTTGTAGTATGAATTCAACTATGAAATTTGACATATCACTGCTGTAACTCCCACGGTCACACAGGCAGTGTAAATTATGTTTTAAGTGCGGTGCTACTGTCACCAATGATGCGGTAATTCCGGTGGAACTCATGTTTAACAACAATTCTTGCTCGTCCATGTCCAAGGTATCATCGTTATTTCTCCGTGCGTCTTTGTGTTCATGTAATTCTACTGGACAAATACGTACGCTTCACCTCCACTGGGACGCAGCTCCAGGTAAACATATCGTAATACCCAAACACATGTTGTTCATCTCTTAAACTAACTGGTATATGTCGAGGATATAATGTAATGCTATTTCACTTTATATCACATGTCATGGTACATATCAATCCCAATCACAGTAGTGTCGTTTAGTGTAAAATATCTGCGACATGAAAATATCAGACTAGATAAAAACAATTATCGCATGGTGTAATGACAATGGCATATATCAACATTTGACGACTGAAAATTTATTTTGAACAAATATCGCGACGAATAATAATATTACTGCCGATTTTGAAAACTATCGGTAGCCCTAACTGCAAATGCGCATCTGCCGACGCGCTTTGATTCAAGCTTAATTAGCATAAATTAGCATATAATTCGTGAGCATGGTTTCATAAAATCACAATTTTTCTGTTCTTTTGATTTGGTCATGTGAAAACACGGTTATTACCAGTTATTCGTAGAGCTAGTTGATACCTCGGAGTATGTGAAACGTGACATTTTTGTAACTAGCTCGTACCTTTGGTTTGTGGATAATACCAACCCGTGACGTCATTCGTCTAATAATATAGTCTGACGATGTATCGCGGATGTCACAATTAGGACCCGACGAGGAGAAGGTTGAACTCGCCCTTTCAGAACAATGTCACGTCGCATCTTGTGTATGTGTCTTGAGGTCAGTGTATATTAATGTTCTGCTCTCGGATTATATATACATGTATTATGTGAAGACACTTTAATATTAATAAACAAAATCTATGAATCTAGGATATGTATATGAATGTAAAATATATGTTGGGAATCTAGAAAATGTGTATGAATCTAGAAAAAATGGATATGTGTATGAATCTGGCGTATGTGTGTGAATCTAGGTTATATGTGAATCTATAGGGTTATGTGAGTGAATCTAGGTTATGTTTATGATGCTAGAATATGTGTATGAATCTAGAAAAATTGGATATGTGTATGAATCTGGAGTATGTGTGAACCTAGGCTATATGTGAATATAGGGTATGTGTGTGAATCTAGGGTATGTGTGTGAATCTAGGTTATATGTGAATCTAGGGTATGTGAGTGAATCTAGTCTATATGTGAATATAGGGTATGTGTGTGAATCTAGGTTATGTCTATGATGCTAGAATATGTGTATGAATCTAGATTATGTGTGAATCTGGGATACTTATATGAATATAGGTTATGAGTATGATGCTAGGCTATTTTTATGAATCTAGGATATGTGTGCGAGTTTAACTATGTGTATAAATCTAAGGTATGTGTATAAGTCTAAGTTATGTGTATAAATCTAAGTTATGTGTATAAATCTAACTTATGTGTATAAATCTAAGGTATGTGTATAAATCTAAGTTATGTGTATAAATCTAAGTTATGTGTATAAATCTAAGATATGTGTATAAATCTAGGTTATGTGTATAAATCTAAGGTATGTGTATAAATCTAAGTTATGTGTATAAATCTAAGTTATGTATATAAATCTAGGTTATGTGTATAAATCTAAGTTATGTGTATAAATCTAGGTTATGTGTATAAATCTAAGGTATGTGTATAAATCTAAGTTATGTGTATAAATCTAAGTTATGTATATAAATCTAGGTTATGTGTATAAATCTAAGTTATGTGTATAAATCTAGGTTATGTGTATAAATCTAAGGTATGTGTATAAATCTAAGTCATGTGTATAAATCTAAGTTATGTGTATAAATCTAGGATATATGTATCCATTCAGGCTATGTGTATGAATCTAGGATATGTGTGTCATTTGAGCATATTGCTTTGTCATTTTTATTTTGACACGCGTTAGATCGTCGTCACTGAGTGACAGTTTCATCATTTTGAACAACAACATTTATAGAGAAAAACGACCATAAATCATCTTTTCACAGAACGGGCAGCAATATTCAAAGAATGACAATAGAACATAAGCATAACATATCTTGGCTCAGACAGAATAATCAAACTGTCACAATCCCCTGACTACCCTTGCTTATAATTCTTGGATTGTGGGAGACTAGTGATTATGTCAATAAAATTAAGATAAATAGCTGTCGTGGTCGATATTGATTCAACGAGTAACCGAATTGTAATTATTGCCTTTCGTGAACTATCTTAATATAATAAATGAATATATGATTTGATAAACCCAAGACGCTGCTGAGATCAGATATTCCATGAATTGTTGCCATAACGACACCTAAAAACATTTCAGTTTCATTGAATCGATTTTCCAATCCGTTGACATTGGCAACAATGTAACCTTTGTTTAAGACATATACGCCACTCTAAGTTACCGGAACTACATAATTGCTATATTAAGAGCAGTAAAGAGTTTCCATTATAATTACTGATTATGCATTATGCTAATCACTCTGCTTATATTCATACTGTAATGCGACGATATGAAAACGGAGAAACAGATATATTCAACAAAGGCACTTTTGCAACAAGTCCTTAGGTGAAACGTATTTGTCCTTTCTAAGTTGCCGGACTACATTGGCCAGCAAAACACTTGGAGAATAGTATTTCACCTAATTGCTTATATTTAATTGACTAATCGAATATTCGAGGGGCATAATGGGTTCAAGATATAAATATCAAAGGCTTCGTTGGAGTGAGCTTCCTAATTTGTTTTGCACGTACTAACTCGCCTATACGGTTCCTGATTAAAATGGACAACTCGATTTACAAGAGCTTGTAAGCGGAGGCGGGAGTACCATGCCCTTATGCTAATTCGACATCTATCTGTACTACGCACACTATATAGTATAGCTCGTATTTCTTCAAATACGTGTTGTCGCACATTAGGTGGAAGTAATGTATTTACACATATTATAAAGTGCATATGCAGGTGTCTTACCGGTAAGACAATATATATTTAATATCAGCTAATTCATTATAAATACACGTATCGTTAACACCGCTATACATTATTAATACCGAACAGATGTAACACGATCCGTAGCCTTTAGTATCGTCGTGTTTGGCTTACGACCTCCTTGGTAAGTTAAAACCTGTCTGTAATGTTTGACAGAGCATATTACGAGCATGTTTTAATCAAAACATAGCCCTACCAGCAGGTTTATATATCGCTTTCAATAATTATTCTATCATCTATCATTGATATTATCATGTATACCTAAGTACTAAGATGTATCAGAGCATAATTTATCACCCATCTATTTTACGCCGTTACAACAGTTAAACAAGTTATGTTTCCTAACCTATATAAACTAGACTAGGCTAATTTACATAACATTGCAGAGCACTATGAGTGCTATAGGCAGTGACCAAATCAACAACCAGCCGCCCAGCTAGCCAACCAACCAGCCAACCAATCAACTAACTAACTAAACAATCATGATTATTTATCGATTTCACGTTTATAGCCTTAAATTCCCACATGACGACAACATGTCGTAGCGGTCATATGTTATCCCCTGGGTCGTTTACAGAACATTTGACTTTAATGGGATTTCATTTATTAAAAGTGCACGATATTGATCCAAGATTGTTTTTTTTTAGTTTACTTCGCTCAGAAGAACATAAATGGACATCAAGTGTAAACATGGAATTGGTGAATAAATTGTGTTTGTCCCAAGTTACCTCAAATAAGGTCAAACAAATAGTATTCGACGCTGCTTTCGACAAAGCATTATAATTGCGTATCGTAGTGTTATGGATATATCCACCTAGAATGAACTCCCAGTCAGTCTGTGAATTGACTATTACGCAAATTTATATTAGCCCCCGTTTGTGTGTTTAACAACACATGTGTTCTCCGCTGACATCGCATTGTCGATGAAGGCTTTCAGAGAGATTAGATTTTCTTTCCATTACCGAAGACAACAAAGCTTTTAACGCGAGAGGCCATGGACTACACTGACAGTTAGCAATGTACTAGACTTGTATCCTGACAAACGAGTAACGGCAGGCAGGAGGCATTAAATTTAACATCATTGTAGTTATATTAGACAAACTATGAAGGGGGTTCGTAATATGATTGTATACAAAGAAGCTCGGTGTGATTATTCACATCAATCATTTTTAGTATTACGATAACTGACTACTGTTGTGATCCACACAATGTTCTCATTGTTATTGCTATCTTACTTAACCTTATATACATTTGCATGTAAATACGATGCACGTCTGGATCGCGTAGTTATGTTATATAAATGTTAGTAATTAATTGACTGTAATTCCTTTAGAAATCACAGAAGGTCGCTTGGGCTTGATTTACTCGCATTGAAAAATTGCCGAACAACATCAACCATCAGCAGTCATTTTTTTATGTTTTCAGAATAACCGACTATGCATGCAAGCCACGAATCTATATTTGTGTGTATTCAATAAAACAGAGACTCGTTTGCAAGAAAATCATCGGAAGCTGATGCTTCCTTCCTGTAGGCTGTTTTACTAGACTGTAAAATCAAAAGAAAATTTAGCCGTCCCACCTATAATGACTTACCTTCCGTCTTGTTGTAATGTTGCAACAATTCTTCGGCTTTAGCTTTTGCCATGAAAAACCACTCTGAGTCATTGGTAAGATACTTATACTCTATAGACAGATCTTTGACGTGTATATGTTCACTTGTATCGCGGTATGCGTACGGACAAAACTGCTCAAAATCTTTAAACTCCTTATAATCATAGCAATTACCTGCCGCGAAGAGAATATCATCACTTTCAAGTAGAGATCTGACAGCGACGTAAAAGAATTCTTGCGATTCGTGGACTGCTTTTAAAGCACTGTTTCGCCAAATGCGTGTCAAAAAATTGGCCCGATCGACAGCTTGTAACGCCTGCGATCGGAACCTGTCTGTGTTGTACTCCCCATCCGGTAAACGCACTCCTGTTCCCCGTGTGCAGTTATCAATGTTCTCCTGTACCCTGTCAACATAACGTAGAAATTCCACCACCTTATCGGCTTCAAAGTCTCCCTGTGTACCGCTTGAGTTCAATCCGTCCCTCTGGGTGGCTGTCCACAAATAGTTCGTCAAGGTAGAGCTGGTAGACGACGATAGGGATGACGAAGAAGATGCTGCTGAGACGAACGCAGATGACTTAGCGTTTGCCACGGTACCAGCCGTGCTATTATCAATACAGTTTGCACACAGAAATCCCAGCGCAATTATTGACCATGAAATCCACTTCATCGTTGTCGAGCAATTTAACAAAAATACAAGTTGAAAATTATACTCAAATAATACAGGTAACAAAGTAGAGATGATTCAGTCCATCTATCACTGGCACATGACAACCTCTGCAAGAAAACAGAATATGAAAATGGAATAAAGTAATACCAGCACATTCTAAATCACTAGAATGTAGCATGGACCATTATCGTCAAGGGGTGGTGGATAAAGGAATGATGGGTTAATTGTAATAATATTTACTTAGTTACAATGTAACTAATATCCTTTTAGCAATAAATTACAGTATATCGTGCTATGTTATTCGACTTTCACACTATTGATGGCAATTAATTACAAATACAGTTACGTTGTATTGAGATGACGTACCCAAGCTTGAGCAAAATGGTACTGTTTTTTTTTTCAGTGCTCATATTCAAACAAAACCCATTCGTTCTCACTTACCACCCACCAAGCGGCTGATTTGTTTTTACTTCAATGTTATCACTATAATTATGTAGTTACACAACATTTTTTAAAAACAAAATATTCCAAAAGCGATCATAGTTCATCTATATATATATTTCTTATTGGCCTATTTTTTCGTGGAATTCTATTACCGACATGCATACATACATAATGTGACATTGATTTTTGACTGATTGTCCTGATAATCTAACTAAGTTGCGGGTCACCTGTATTCCAAATTTGAAGGCGCTAGTTTCCTCTTGTAACTCTATTGCGAACATACATACACACGTCTTGACCTTTGATCTTCGTCTTGACAAATGTTAGTTCTGGGGTAACATGGGGAACATTAGTGTCAAGTTTTAAGGCGCTAGCTATTTTCTCATAGTAGTTATATTGCGAAAATACATGAACTGTGAGCGTGACCTTTTGTTTTTAGAGTGTATAACCAGGTCATTAAGGTCACATGGGAGACATGTGTTCCAAGTTTGACGACGCTACCTATTTCGTCTTCTATTGTGAACATACTTACACGTACTAATATATACGGCACTGCGCGCACTACGCTCGCCCTGCTCCGCGCTAGCGCAGGTAATTATTAAAAAGAAAGGAAACTGGGGGAAATGCAGGTGTAAAACATGGCTAGGCGACTCTCTGTTTTTATATATTTGACTAATATGAGAAGACATCAAATCACAGTTGAAACACGATATGCAAATATGGGTATCCTTATACAAATATATAAGACAGTGGTTTAAGGTAGAGATGCAGTTTACCTGACAGGTATTTTAATTTGCTAATTAGGAAAACAAGATAACCTCCCTTGTCCACAAAACTATATATTTTCGGAAAGCTTATTGTATGAATTTTAACATTTTGTTAGTATTTTATTTTTATGGACACTGTAGTTTGAAATATGCACAAAAATGTGCTTTTTTGGTCAAAAGTGATTTAAAAAAATTTAGCTTCTAAACCATGCTTCTGTTTCCTGTCAAAATTGGTTTATGGGTACATCTGTTTACTATGAAGAAAGTGCCGTCTTGAAAACTGTCTACCAGTTGTTAATTTTGCAGGGCGGGAGCTCAGATTTCACTACTTCAAGTTTATGCATAAATTAACACCCAGACTACTTGTCTGTACGATTGCTGTAACACTGTTCAACCAAAAACAATGTCCCGACGGCGTTTTGAAGATAAACACATTGTCAATCATTTGTAAAAATTTCAAAACAAAAGGTCAAAGCGTCTAGGAGCTATTTATTTTTAAAGTTCTGGGATGTGCACTAAAAAGAAGCTGAGATAATTGCTAATTTGCATAACAATTCACTCAGTAAGAAGTTTGCTAATGCTCATAATTAAAATGGCTGTAACAGTTCCAAATTTAAATGTATTATCGTTTTGTTAAAAGTTAAATATAGTGCATAGTATGGAGATCCCGACATTTCTTTTTTATTATTTATTTTTTTATTATGTACAGCCTTGCTAAATCTTCCTAAGCATTCAAAAGAGAGAATGTTTGCACCTGTTATCTATATTTTAAAATCGTTTTTTAAGTATGTTCTACTATTCACAATTGTACAAAATTTTAACAGTCTATAGCCAAGACTGTTTGAATAATAAAAAGCAAAAAATAAAAAAAATTCACTCCAAAGTGCCGTACAACCTGCATCTCTACCTTAAGATGTTTACAAGTCCGGATCTATGAATGCTGTGGGTGTTAGATTTCAAAACTTCTCGGGTGGTATACAAGTAATATTAAATTCCGGAAAAGTATATCTTACTTGGTCATACTAATACTATTTCTAACTTTCCCTTCACGTTTCCTGAATACCTTATTCAAGACATATCACATTAGTAAACAAAACAATGATCATAGTTACGGTTGCTAAGGGCGTCATCAATTGCAATCACCATGCCTCTTACCGACGATGAGAGCGCGAATATCATAGCATGTGGGCGCATTCGTGGCAAATATTTTCGAAATGTAGGTTACGTTCTTGACTGGAGCATTGTATATTCGTATTCGCCTTAATGGATATAATGCAGCTGTGAACGTCTTTACCTACTCTAATGTTTCACGTGGCACGCTATTCCGCTAAAAGGAGCCTTGCAAACCTGGAAATTATTCAATTCTTCAGCGTAAATATGGCTCTTTTTTTGTGGAAAAGGATGCGTCAATTAACAACGAATACCCCCTAAGTTTGTAGGAAAAAAACCCAATCGAAACTCACAGTCATAATATTCAATAAAGGGAAGTTCAAAGCCCCCAAACACAATACAATAGACAAGAAACACGTGACTGAGAAAGATACATTGCCAGTGAGAAACAGATATATGACCCTCTAAGCACACAACGTGGTGTAAACAAAACGATTTTAAACTGGCTTATATCAAACTGAGTCATGTAGGTACGTACTATATTCTCTGGGGTAGGAAATAAAACCTAACGCTGGGTAAAGACCACACATAATTTGTTATTAGTGATATTACAATTCACAAACAAATATTTTTCAGACAGATTTCAAAACCTTTCGTAAGTAAATGCTCAGACTGACCCTGCTGTGATTTTTTTTCCGAATTGATATGCACACGAAGATAACGCAATCCACGGCAAATCCTGTTCATCGGCAAATCTCTATATAGATTGTTTGCCGAACTACAATGTAACAGTTGCAAGCTCCACTTTCTAACAAACCTCGATGAATTAACGTAAAATACAAAAATGAGATTTATTTAAATAAAACATATAGATTATACATACGTTTGTTTGTATTTCCACACTATTGTCAAAAATTCACTCCAGTATCTCATATATTCGCGGCGTGTGAACAGTGTAACGTTCACAATGTACGTTCATACTGAACGCCAGGCGACAAACGTGTTGTTTAATTGAATTGAACATTGAATCGCTATAGGTGGTCATCGATACTGGAAATCTCGCACTCGAACTGCGCAGCTCATCTGCATAAAATGTGCCACAATAATCTCCATACACGCGCCCTCTATTGATCAACTGAAACAGACGAATTTGTGTATAAAAGTACACATTTTCATTTCACTGGCATACAACGCTTATGAATTTATTTAATTATTTAATTATATTCTTTTTTCGAATAAAATCAAAGAATACATTCCAAAGTCCGATAAAACTGCGAGGTTTATGTTTTGGCTTCAATTCGAACATGTCACTAGACTAAGTACTAGTTCTATGAGAAGATAGTATAAAAAGAGCAATTATGTGTTGTTTTTCATATATTCACAACGGTAAACCACCTGCGCAGTAATAGGTTTAGGCAACTTTTGCTCTAAGCTATTCAAATCCTTTAAACCAACATACACAAATCTATGGTGCTTACCCATCATTATTTTTTTGCTGGCGATAACGAGCGTTTGGTCCAATAATAGATGTATGTATATTATATCGCAAATAAGTTCTTGTGTGGCAGTTGCTGTAATGAGGTGTACATGCATTTCACCAATTTTCTCTATAATTCGGTATAGATCAGTCAATCATTATTCCGATTTAAAACGAAATTCTGTATCCACAATTGAATGGAAATATTTGAATTGACACAGGTTGCCACGGATTCGCGGTGTACTTATTGAACACAGCACGGGTCGTTTCAAAGGTTACAGAGAACTATATGGTTTAAAGCAATTATTTTGTGGAGTTATCGACAAAAAGTAACGGTCCACCTATTGTGACATAACTTTATTCAGTCCAGGTAATATTTGGCACGCGATGCGCTAAATAATCGGTAAATTACGATATATTCCCAGTTATGTATGCCAACGAATACAATAGGAAAATCTACAAAATATAGGAAGTAAGAGATAACACTAAACTTGTCCAAGCAAATTGATTGAATGTGTGCAGTGTATTTGATAAGGAACTTTAAAACAGAATCTCTTCGTTCACATATTTATGGGGAGGGAGAGGGGGCGCATCTGTCCATTTCATTGCCTCATTACCCATACAAGCTAGGCCTCTGGCAGTCACATCATTGATTCCCCAAACACATTTTCAGCCTATTAAATATTAGAAATCGACATTGTCTGTTCCAATTTATTTTTAAATAAATATATTGACTTCTCATAAAGTGAAAGCAACAACCTATACATTGAATGGCACACATAATTATAGCTCGGAGGTCAATATAAATGCAAATTGGTATAAACAAAAGATTCAACTAATCACTTTTTATGCTTTTTAAAGATGTCATGTGTGAATTTGTGTTTGAACGTATGTTTGCAGTGTTTACAAATTGGGCCAAGATGAGTAACTTGACTTTAATAAACATATAATAAAACTCTGATATAGCTAATAAGTGTTTGGCCAACATTATGTGTTATTTTACTATTATGCATAGAAATGTGAAGAGCTGGCACGTTTGTCGAGAATACAAAGTATTAGAGTCTTGTGTCAAATAACTCATACGTACGAGGCACTCAATGCTGTCAATCAACGCTGTAGTATAGACTAAAGAGCATACTGAAGAACATTTCTCGCCAGCTCCTTCGTTTGCTTAGCAACAACGTTCAAATACTGTTACTCTA